TTTACAAAAATATTTACACTGTTCTATTCGTTGCGTAATTGGTGTTACGTTCACATAGGGTTTTCTTCGTTTACATTTTTATTTTGCATGTTCTCAACAAATAGATTACACTAGATCATATTTTTTTCACGTTTTTACAAATTGCACCTTATTTAGGTTCGATTTCCACAATTTTTCCTACTGTTATTAGCCTGTATTTTAGTTTGTATTTGATGTTTAACTCGGTAAGTTTTTTGTTTTCGAATAGTGTTTCGTTTCTCGCAGTCCCCAGTATAAATCTTGTTTCTGCAAGTATTATTTCACAATGTTTACACCAGTTTTCTTTTTCTTCGAAAATTGCTGTCTTCGGAGTAAATTATTGATTTTTACATTTTTCGCATTTCTGAAGAAGCGTGTTTGTGTATTCCCACGCTTCTTTTGTTCTTTGGCATTCGTAAAAAAGGTATTCTATTGTTTCTGTCTCGTTGCACACTTTGCACAGTGAATGGGGTTGAGATAGTATGTGACGAGAGTGGAGGTAGTGTCCGGTACCTAGACATTAATCAGTGCATATTGGTATTTTTCGGAGTGGTTTTTATTTTCTTGATGAGCTGCCATTTTTTATTGTGGTCTATATTTGGGCATTGTTTTTTACAATATGTGGTTCTTTTATTCTATTTAATAATGTGTAGTACAGGGACTTGGTGTTACTTTTCTCCCAGTCTGTGTCTGTTTGCCCGTTTACGAATTCTGTAAATATTTTGGATTCTTCCTAATAGAAGGGTGATAGTATCCAACTTCTCGCCCTTAGATTTGAGTTTAAGGATTTGTTGCTATTTCGTAATTTCATTCCTATCTAGTGTGGCAAACGGTGTCCACAGTTTATTGTCTCCCAGAATTAGTTTTTTTAAATGATTGAGGATTTGAGCTTTAATTTTTTACTCTATATGTGTCATGTTTATTCCTCTATCCTGTACTTTGTTAACCATTGTGTCTTTTTAATTTATCTGGTTTGTTGTTTCATATTAGGGGAGATCGGGGCAACTTTGGCATGCGGGGCAAGTTTGTCAAGCGCTTTTTTTAAAAAACAAATTAAAAGGAGACTTTGGTTATAGGTTAGGCAGTTGAGTTTTATTGGTGGCTTGTTGAGTGTAGTGTTTTTATTGTTCTCCAACAAGCGTAGTTGAATTATCAAGCAAATTTTCATTTTCGTTCAATTCCATATAATATTTTTTTTCCATTTATATTGAATTGGCAGGTTTTGTTATAATTCCATGATAACGAAAGTTACTTTTCCTGTTAGAAGGATGTAACTTCAACTTATTCACGTGGCCAGATCGTGGCTTGGCATTCTGTTCTCAGGGTTGTACTTAATGTTTCGAAATCATGACTAGCGGGGTAAGATCGGCAACATAAAGCCACATTAGAAGCAAAGGATAAAAATCAAACAGATGATAAATGAAAACATGTTTGCATTTGTTATTCATGTATATATGTCTTTGAACTTGCATTTCGTTGTAATAATATTAAATGGGTGTTGGATTTGTATTTCTTTGTTTTAATAGTGAATTCCAACTTATACATTGTTAATAACATAATTTTATATACGTGCCTATCTTGCCCCATTACTGTTGCCCCTATACCAGGGGCAACTTTAATAAAAATAATTAAAATAATTACAACTTTACAAAAAGAGAGAAGTTGCCGATCTTGCCCCTATACCCGGGGCAACTTCGTCAATTTCTCTCTTCTTGTAAAGTTGTAATTATTTTAATTATTTTTATTTCCAAACTGATTTTAACCAGTTCTATAGTAAGGTAACATTCCAATAGACAATATGCAAAGCTTTTTTTTCAGTTTATAGCAGTATTTATTACACAAAATTTAAGTAAAGCTTAACATGCCGATCTTGCCCCGATCTCCCCTAATGTTTTAAAAGCCGAATGATTCGATTTTTTAATTACATCGCGGGGAATTGAGATAAAATTCGCCATAAACTGGATCTTGCTGCATATTTGCGTGTTATATATTAAGACTTTTCCTCTTAGGTTGATGTTTCTATTATTTACGTTGTTATTATATATATTTACATTTTTCAATTATCGAGTCAAATTTTCCTTTTAATGTTTCTTTAACCTCACCGAAAGGAATTCCCAGAATTTTTGCTTCGGTTTTCCATTCGATTTGGTTGTGCGGATATATCGGTGTCTTTCGCCAGCCGCCTAATTTCATTCCGACCGACTTACGGATGTTGACCTTTAACCCTGATATTGTTTCAAAGTGTTGCAGTAGCTGAGATATTCTTCTTGTACTTTTTTCGGTGGTACAAAAGCAGGTTAAGTCGTCTGCATGAGTTATTATCTTTGTTTCAGTTCTACTCCCGGAAACTCGCAGACCTTCTATACGTTTGTCCTCTTTTATTGTTCTGATTAGTGTGTCTATTGCAGTTACAAAAAGTAGCATGGACAAAGAAAACCTTTGACTGGCCACTTCATGTCTATTCAGTCACTGAAACATCCGTCTAATATTATTGTGCTACTCATTTTTGCATAGCAAGTCTCGATGGTTTTAATTAATTTTCTCCTAAATTAATTTTTTTATTACGTTCATCATAAACTGGTGATCTAATCTGTCAAATGCATGGTCCATGTCTATTGTTATGAGGCATCCAGGACTATTCTTTTGGTTGTAGTCCATTGTATTTCTTATTAGACGGATGTTGTCGTGTATTTTTCTTTCAGGCAAGGCACACGATTGTTCCGGGCTGATGATGTTTTTCAGAATCGATGAGAGGCAGGAGGATATTATTTTTGCCAAAATTTTATAATCGACCTTTAGGAGTGTCATCGGTCTATATTCATCTAATCACGTTGCATTTGTTTTCTCTGGAATCAGTTTGATTACCCCTTTGTATATCGAGTGAGGAATGCCGTTTTTAACTATTTCATTAAAAAGGGTGGTCAGGGCTTTGGCCAGCTGTCTGAAAAACACTTTGTAGGATTCCTTATTTAGGCCGTTGGAGATTTATTTTCGCCGAGTTCTTTGATTGCTTTCCAGTATTCATTGGTTCTTGTGTTTCCTTCCAGTCTCGTTTTATCTTCGGGACATATCTGGATTATGATTATTTTTCCATGAATTTATTTTCTGGATGTATAGCCACAGTGCTGCTTTTGCTGTATAGCTTTGTAAAAACGCCTGGCATTCATTGAGAATTTCGTTTCTGTTACTTATAATTTCATTTTCTGTTTGTATTTGTCTCATTTTGTTTTGATTTCTTGTGTTTTCTATTCGTATAAAATGTTTAGTAGATCGTTTATTGTCTTCGAGGATTTGGACTCTGGCCTAATCGCTGCTGCTTCCACTTCAACATTATCTATCTCTTTGATTTCGTCTTTTATCTGTTTAATTTTATTTGTGTCATCATGGAGCAAATTCAAAAGTAATCTTAATTTTTTCTTTAGATACTTTATATTTGATTTTATTTCGTGGAATTTTTTTGTCTCTATTTTTATGAAAAATGTTTTTATTTCCGTCTTGAAATTGTCCCACCACAAAACAATAACTTCTTCTTGCTTTTGTAGGTATTTTTCTATAAATTTATTTGTTATCTAAATTATTTATTCGTTTTTTAGCAGTTTATTATTTAGTTTCCAATATCCTTCGCACTATTTGCTATGAGGGAGAGTGTTAATTTTTATTGTTATCATTTCATGATCTGAGTAACAACATGGTTCGTTATCTGAGCGTTCTATAACTTCTTCCAGAGTAGATCGGACAAGGAACCTGTCAATCCTTGCACTACATTTACTGGTTATATGAGTAAACGTTCTCTCATTTGGGTGTTGTTTTCTTTATTATTTTATTAGTTTTTGGTTACTCATTATTCTTTTTAGAGTTTCTGAGCTTCTGCTTGATGTTATATCATTTTCTCCTTCCCTGTCTAGTGCGTTGTTTGTCATGCAGTTCCAATCGCCTCCTGCGATGATATAATCCACGCCTGTCCCCACGTAATGGTCAAGAGAGCGAAAGAATTCTATCCTTTTCCCTGGTGTTACCGGGGTGTATATGCTTAATAGTCTGATTTTATTCTAGAATATGTGAATAAAGTTAATTTAGATGCTATATCTTTAAGAGAAATGCATTAAAATTAAATTTAAATTCAATTATAAGATATCAAACCATATCGGAACAATTAATTGAAATCTTGAATTAAATGTATTAGACTGGAAAGTAATTTTTAAATAAAGCCGATTGATAAAACAATTCAGATTTTCAAACCAAATTATGTATTAAATCGTAAAGAAAAAAAAATTAGTTTATAAGTGTAGAAGACAAGTTCATGGTTTAAAGTTCAAAAGGTCTGCAAATCAGAAAGATCTGTGAATGATAACGACGAAGTTCCAAATTATATTGATAATTAAGTTATATGGTGGTTCATTTGCACATAAAGAAGGAGTCACGAAAAGAGAGATTTTAGATAAACTTGAAATACCATCAGTATATCTAGATCTACAAATGTGTAAACATGTTAAGTATAATGTGTTCAATGAAATGTGTGTTTTAAAAAAATAAATAATTCTTATCGTCTTTCATTTTCTTTTATCAAAATACAAATAACAAAAAAGTCTACCCAAAATTGAAGTCAATTTTTTTGTTTATTTCTATGTTTTGCACTATTTTTAAATTGGTGATGTGAGAACCCTCCTAATCAGACCATGTGAATAAAGCGATTTTTTAAAAAGTCGCACTTTTTACTTAAATAATGCTCGATTTTTTTAATTAAAAAACATGCCAATTGTTTACTAATTTTTGCTATTTTTCGATTTTTGCTCATCCTTACAAAAGTGAGCTAGAATTTTTTATTCTACTAGTATTTTTACTTTACATTTTTTCCTGTAGATGTTGCTACAATTGAGTTTAAAAAGTGATTCAAGTAACAACTTTGTTATCTTTGAAAAATATAGATATTTATCTCGAAATAACAAGCTTATCAGACATTATCAAAATTTTTGACAAGTACGTAGACGTTATTAAATTCATGTCAATTGATCATAATGGCTACATCTTCAGAATTCAGTAGGGCACATAAAGTATGCGTTATCATCATTGTTTTCTTGGAGTATTTATTATTTAGTGGTATTATTTATGGATGGGCCGACTTAGTTTATGTTCTAAAATTACAAGGAGTATTTTCTAATAATTGTAACAATAATGTGACAATATCTGGAAATGAAACGATTGCAAACAAAGTAAGTCAATAAATATTTTCTTTCGTTTCTTTATGAATCATTTAACCACACAAAAGTAATAATATTTAACACGTGATATATATGAATATACCACGTGTTAAATACAAATATTAGCATTATAAATTTCAAAATAATTTATTTGATATATTTAAATTATTTTTAGACTAAATCATGTAAAAGTCAAGATGACCTCTTCGATTTAGCTTTCACTATCTCTTCTTTCAATAAAGCTTTAGCTGCATTTTTAAGTGGCTTTCTATTAGATTGGGTCGGATTAAGGATAACTAGAATAATTTCTTCGTAAGTAATGAATTTAAAGTTAAAAAGTATTGAATTTTTAATTACTTATATATCTAAAAATCTATTTATTCGTATTTTACAGATGTTTTATTTTAATTGGTGGAACATTTCTTGCACTTTGCGATAAAAGTAATTAAAATTAATTTTGTTTTTAATTAAATAAATGAATTTTACAAAAACAAATAATAAAATATAGCGTATATGTATGACACGAAATTATATTTTGATATGTAAGTTATTCCAGTTTGATAACGTGAAACACGTAATTTAAATAGAAACGGATTTAGATAAGATTGTTTAATTATACTTTGAATTTGATAAGAAAAAAATTTCCATTACGAATAAAGATTTCTCATGTTAAAAAATTATATTTTTAAACAAAAATTTATTTATTTAGATAATCCATATTATTTATTTCCTGGCTCACTTCTTGTGGGTTTAGGAGGTTCCGAAATTCGATATGGGAATTTTCAAGTGAGTTTGTTACTGTAATTATTATATATTTATACTGTAATTTTTATAAAAATTACACTTTTATTAATTTTTATAAAATGCAAACTGAATTTTAATTTTAATGAATATCATTAATTATTTGATATTATTAATACTGTATTAACGTATTTTATTCAAGATGTTTTTAAGTCATTAATTCGTTTATATTGTTTATTTAAAATTATCTAATATTAAATTATTTTTTGTTATTGACTAATTATAAATTAAATTTCAGATTTCTAATTTGTTTCCAAAATACAAAATGACTATAATGTCCTTTTATAATGGAGCTTTTTGTGGATCACCTGCTGTGTTGTTGCTTTTAAAAGTACGTTTATTTAATTGTTTTGTTAGTTTAAAGTGATAAAGAAAATTAATATTTGTGATGTAATCTCATTTAAAATAATTAATATATACGGGTGTTTAAAAAATGGGCAAAACTTTAAGGGGTGAATATACCAAAACAAACATTTCTCGTCCTAGAATGCGTGGTCGAATGTGAAGTATTGAGGCCCAAATACAGTAATGACTCATGGCACAGAATTTGGAAAAAGAACTTTTAATAAACGTAAGGACATGAAACGCGTATCGGCCTTCTCGGCATTGGAATAACGATCCATCTCTTGAGACATCGAGGATGAGAATAACCATTTATATGCTTTCCGGAAAGCTCCATTTACCGCCTTTCTTATCCGATTCGAACACACATTCTATGACGAGAAATTTGTTTTGGTGTCAGTACAGTACATATAGTCAGTCAGTGTCTTTTTCACTTGGCGCGGAGTCACTGCCGTGACTCTCGATCTTGTAAATTAATATGCTTCTTCCGTTATTTTTCTTAAAAATTCGGGCTGATTCTAAATTTTTGCAGTGTTTTCGTGTCCTATACTTTTACAAGCTGAAACTATAAAATAAAATTGCTTACAGAATATGAAAGCTAGCTCAAAAAGTTTTACTAGGTATAGAATCAACACTGTAGAATGCTAAACAAATAGCTTCAACATCAGCACTTTTCGTGGTACGTACGATTTCCAACCTATAATCAGCTTTATAATTTACTACCGTAAAATGGTAAAAGGCATTAATTCCAAATTTTCAAACATTCTATTTTTCCGATTTTTGACATTGAATGGTGCTTCTAACATCATCCTGTATGATTGTTTTTGATGGGGTTGTTAAATTCTGAGACTTTTTGACAGCGAAAAGCATTAACTCCAATGTGCTACGTTCATTACTAATTCCGAAAGTATAAATTCTGTTCATCGGAGTGTTTTTGTGGTAAGTTGATGAATTCGCATTTAATGCGTTTTCGTAATTTAGTAGACGTGACTATAAAATGATTTCTTATATTGTTCAATACTGTACAGAAACCACGAAATTGATCCACTACGCCGAATCTAGCATTCAGGAAAATAATTGTCAAGAAATTCTTGAACATGAGCCCAGAGTAGCAATGAGCTATCTTACTAAAACATCACATTTGGCTGATGATCTTCCAACTGGGATAATAGATATTGTGTAGCATGTCCAGATATATTACTACTGTAAAAGGAGTACACAGGAAAAGAAGTGATCGCTTGGAGCCTCTGAAAGTTAGCAACTTCAAAAAGAGATAAATTCTGCAAACCTCAGACACAGATACATGTCCAGATATATTACTACTGTAAAAGGAGTACACAGGAAAAGAAGTGATCGCTTGGAGCCTCTGAAAGTTAGCAACTTCAAAAAGAGATAAATTCTGCAAACCTCAGACACAGATACCATCTTCACTTAGATAATGCGCTGTTCGTCGAATGACAAACAGTGTAGTAAAAGTTTTTACCCTACAGATGTGACTTTGTTACATCTGTAGGGTAAATAAAGAGTCGCATGGCCTCTCAAAGTTGCTTTGCGACTCTTCTATCAAAGATTGTTTTACACAACACTTGGAAAAATCTGAAAAACATTCTACCTTTGTAACTTTTCAATCCAGAAGACATGCACTGTAAACTTTTTTACTGCAGAAATACTTTTCGAGGAAAGAAAAGAAGGCGTTTATTGACACCATGCTCGTCGTCATATATGAAAAATTGGAGGAAAATTGCATAGATTTAACTCTTTTGAGCACGCATGTAATAAGCGCAATTCGATACAATAGCAATTTAAAATGAATATATATATATATATATACTGTATATGTTTACAAAAATACCATTTGCTAGCACTACTTAATACTTAGAACAACGCAACATCAAAAATTAGATTGCGCTTAGGTTCTTCAAGTGCCAGATCAGTCACTGCCGCTGTCACCGTTCGAATATGCCAAATAAAACTTTTGATTTGCGATTTTATATTCTGTTATTTTCGCTTGAAAAATTATAGAATACAAAATCCCCTTAGAATTATCCTATTTACTCAGCATTTTTTTATTCACTGTAGTTACTCTTTTCAAAGAATAATGACAACAAGCAATCTTTCTTTAGTATAATAGTTTTTATCTGTTTAACAAAAAAAAATTGCTAAATAGTTGATTCTGTATACTCAATATTTTAAAGTATTAAAACTATATTTTCATATTATTAGTACTCTGTTTAGCTCCATTACTGTATTAAAATGGTTCTTTTAAGTAATTGATGCATGATTATATTGTCATGAAGTAGTGGAAATCCTAAGACTGAATGCTATTTATTCATATTAAATTTTCACACAATTTTTACAATTAAATTAATTGTAAAAATTATTTTAATTTTTATTTCCTTGGAATCCTCTTATTTTCATTCAAAACCGATTTACCGTAAACCGCAGTTTTGAGTATGCAGTGAAATCGGTATCATTGTATTTACTTGCTTGTTTTGTCTTTTATTTGGCAGTAAATTAAGTTTGGATTTAAGTTGATTCTACATAACTGATGTAACCTGTTGTACTACCATAAAATGTCAGTGTAACATTAAAATTTGTACATTGCACCAATTTATCAATCTTATTTTTTTAAATACATTTTTTTAAAAATCTTTCCGCCCTGTTGGCATTAAGCAGGCTTTTAATCGAGGCCATCATGGGTTTGGTCAGGTCCACAAAAGGTGGGCGAGAGAAACGGGAGCAGACATATCCAGGATGGACTTTATAAATATAAGAAAGAGATAAGTTTATCTCTTTCTTATATTTATAAAAGTTAGTTCTTAGTATTTTAAAATTAATTTATTATAATATTTTTACTTTCGATTTTTTTTTATGATGAGCAGTTAAATATACCAAAATCTACGAAGATAGAATGATCTCAATCTATTTAAAAATTGCTTCCCATTCATCTATCGTTTCTTATACAGTATTTCTCATCGTTTGCATTTATACTATTTCTTCTTCGTTAACAATTACAAAGGAAACATTTCGTTTATTAAGTGTAAAATTCTATAAAGAAGTATAAAATTAATTTAATCAAATTTTTAACTCCTGCTTCAAACTTCCTGGGGCAAAACTTGATATTCTAAAGCAGGGGTGTCCAACCCGCGGCCCAAGGCAAGTTCCAATGCGGCCCAATAAACGTGTAAACAATACCGACAAATGTTTTAATTTTTTATTATTTATTTATTTCAACGGCATAAACTCAAAAAAAAGTTTCACAAAGCCGTAAACCTTTATTCATATTTTATTTTTGAGTAGAAAGAAAATATTTCCAAATACTGTACAGTACTTGGAGATGTGTGAAAACGGAAGGATTACTAAATAAAGCTGGAGTTGTGACTCAAAGGATTATAGATCCAAATTTGGAAAAAGGAGGGAAAGATGAGAAAGGGCGAAAAAAGATGTAGTAGTGAGAAATGTTAAATAGATCTTCTGTTAAGCAAATATGGACCCATAATTTTTCAACCTTTTTCACTTCTTTATCTTTTGTTTTTTGCCTCTTTTTTCCGCACTTGGGTCTATAATCCTTTGATTCACAGCTCCAGCTTTATTTAGTATTTCTTCCAACGTTGCAAGATTTGGCTACATTGGGCCAAATGTGGCTACTTTTTTTTGCTTGACGTAAAAAATATCATTTGGCGCTTTGGCTACTTTTTCGGCTACATATTATTTATAATTATATTAATTGAATAAAAATGCACTTTAAAATGGCGTTTCGTCGCTTTTTATTAATTAGAGACCCAAATAAAACAAATATTTGTGTTTTTCAAATAAATTTTCGTTTGTCTCTTTTATAATAAATGAATTTATCTATTTCTAAGTAAAAATTGAAAGCGTCTGTAGAAGTAATTTTTTAAAATGTCCTTTTTCTTGATAAAGTTTTAATACTTGTTATTATAATCTAAACATGTTAATCCTTAAATATACTTGTATATTGGGCCACATGTATATATTATATATACCTGAGGCCCAAAACTTTTTGACTTCTTCCAATGCGGCCCAGAGAAACAAAAAGGTTGGACACCCCTGTTCTAAAGGGACAAATATCAACGAATCTTAAACGAAATCTAAAATTAAATAAGAAATATTTTGAAATCTATGGAGAAAATATTTTTAACTTTCTATTTATAAATATATAAATTTTACTTCTAATATTTATTTCAACTTTGTATAAATTATGAATAAAGACAGTTATAAATCGTTTTATTATTTGATGTTGATATAATAACAATTAGTATATTTCGAAAAGGTGTATGACTTTTTTTTAATAAAAGTATATGTATCTGTATGACTATTACCATGAGTGATGAAGTATGAAATGTAATTATGTCAACAACAAAAAAATACAAAAAATTCATTATGTGTGAAGACAATGCATTTGGCGAAATATTTGGTCAGTGACGTGTCGCCATCTACTGATCAATATTAAAAGTTTTAATGAATTATTTTACATCACTGAAAAAGTAATTAGTTTTATATAAATATACAAAATTAAGCAGTTAATTTTGAGATATTGAATTATATAAAATACTTTATTGACGAAAAATCTCTCTATATTTTACAATACATATAAAATTGTTCTTATCATTTCAGTATTGCTACGATCAAGGAATTTCATACTCTGCTTTCTTTTATGTCTGGACCGGAATATCATCTTCTATATTGCTCACGAGCTTCTTTTTGCTACCAAAAATGAATATTATTGCTGTTGAAGACAAAGAAGAAATAGTTAGATCTATAAATGATGATGAAGAGAGACAACCTTTACTGTCTCGTAAAAGTGGTATAAGATTAATATTCGACATTAGTATAACAAATATGGATTGACACTATTATTTATTAATCAATTAAATTAATGTTTTCTTAGGTGAAAGTTACAAAGCCTCTACAAATAATATATTTCGTTCTATATTTTCTATATCATTCATATTTCATGTAGTGAGTAATTGCCTATTAGCCTTAAGTATAATTATATATTTAGGATCATTTAATTGGTGGATAACAAAACTTACGAGTAATCAAGAGGAAGGTATTTAAGTTAATTTTATGACTTATCTATTTAATTAAGGCAAAATTAAACTTCTGAAGATTTAATATTTATAAATTATTTTATTAGTTAGTAGGTTGTCAGAAATTTTCGGTTTTTCTCAACTTCCTATGATTATCGTGTCTCCATTTATAGGAATATTATTGGATTCGGCTGTAAAGAAAGCCCAAGAGGGTTAGTACCATTATATTTGAATATTCTTATTACGAATGCATTACGAATTTTTATCATATAACCGTCTTTTCTATAATAGAAGAAGATCCTATACTCAGAAAAAAGAAGTCACAAAGGGCAGGATTTTATTCCTTAATAATATGTTCTACCGTTGCTACATCAATGATTGCATGCAGAACCATTTCAAATGTTACAGCTGTCTATTTTTCACTCGTTTTTTATGTACTTTCTCGCCCTATACTCAATTCAGTCTCTCCCGGTTATATTAGAATAAGGTTTCGTATTTAATTGTATTTATTATTAATTTAAAATATTACTTTTATGTTTATATTAATAAAATATTTTATTTAGATTTCCTCAAGAACATTTCAATAAATTAATTGGTATTTTTGGTACGGTAACATGCATTTCTTCAGTTGTACAGTATCCTTTGTTCCTTTGGATGCAAGAAGATTTTATGATTGTAAGTTAATTTTTCATTGATCTGTTTTATTATTTTTTTTATAATTTTTTAAATTAAACCCTTACATTTTACAGAATAATTTATTTCTTATTGGATTGCTTGCTTTAACGTTTATCAATCCTTTACATTTACTCTGCTTGAAACCAACAGATGTTTAACTCAAGATGTATGAAATTTTACTATCTTATATTATATTTGTTTACTCATTTATATATTTTGTTAAGTTTTTAATTCGTTTGCATGTTGAATAAAAATAGTATTTTATACATTTTAAATAATTCTCGTTAATACAGATTGACTAAATGACATGATATTTACGATATTTTACGAGTAAGTTATTTTATAAATATACTTTCCAAAATTATAAGATAAAAACGAGAGTGAAAATTATATAGTAATTTTGATTTTATTTAGTTAATATTTTAAAAACAAACACGCTTGATTTATATCATTTTGTCATTAAAATTATAAATAAAAATTAAATGATCAGATTAATCGATTGGAGTTAATGATATAAAAAGATGTTTAAAGTACATTAACTTTATTTTCATAATTTTTTGCATACAGATATAGGATAGTACATTGATGATTAACAATTTTATGTCTTTCAAGATTTATATTCCCATAACATTATTTAAATCTGGTTATGTGGACAACTGTTTAATAAATCGTCATTACCGAATTACATAATACTTCAAAACTTCACTTCGCTATTGGTAATTTGAAATAATCATTATTATTTTATAGAAATGACAAAATTATAGGAAATTTTTTTTTAATAGAAACCTCGTCCTTTTGAAAATAAACATAAATTTCTTATGAATTTATGTTACTTATAACTTAATGAGAATAAGCAATACTTATTTCTTAAACAATCTACCAAGTTAAGCAATCCTTTTCTATTTACGCTATGTTTACTTTTAATCTCTAGATCCGATAGTTCAGTTACGTAATAGAGAGACTTGCAAGTATAGTGTTAAAGGTAAACGAGTTTAGAACCACTCCAGTATTTCGAAAATTTCGCCATTGAATCTCGAGACATTAACAGCTGATAATTTATAATAACAGTTTACGATTAAATTTGTCATAATTGTTTTCATTACGTTGCAAGATCTTTAAGTCGTTTTCATTGACTGTAAAAATTTATCAGCTACTAGGTCATCAGTAACAAAATTTATCTTGATTGTCTGCATTACATTTTTTCAAATATACCGGTACTTATAATAAATAAGTTGTCAATATTAAGCTTCATTTCGTGCAGAATTTATCTCCTGATCCTTTAGAAGCAAACACTGATTTCAAAACAAATATTTTGAAATTATATAATAAAAATTATGAAAAAAATTTGCTGAGCAAATGGAATATTTTACAATATATACTTTATAGAAGCCATACTGTTATTAACAGCAAACTAAAATATTTGATGTTCGCTCCGAAAACTCCGAGCAAATTGAGCGTGCTCAAAGTGATTTTCGCATCCAAAAATAAACAAAAGAAATACAAATAATAAAAATAACAATATTATAAAAAATAATTTCACTTTATCAAACTGTATTTTCTGAATCAATATTTATTTCCAAAATGTTAACAATGCAGAGTCAATACAATAATTCGTGAATATTCGAATACGAACAAATTGTTATATTTTTGATATTTCTTCAGGAAATTCTAATTTATTTTGTGAGGGGTTTAACTCAGCAATGATCTGTAAAATGTACTTGTAAGCATACTCAAGAGATCATAACCTGTGAAAAAAAGATTTACATCAAAGGTCATAGCTTGATCGAAGATTTGAAAGTTATAAGGATAAAAGTTGATGAGTTGAAACGACATCAGATGATAAGAGAAAGGAAATGAGATAAGAATGTGTAATATTAAACTCTTGATCATCGTTTGACCATATATTCTTGGGTTAAGAGATGATCTTGGTGCAAGAGAGAATATTCAGGACGAGTGTTCTGCTAATGATTGTCGTTTTGGCCGTTTCCATTGGGAGTGGGATAAGACAATTAAGGCCTTTATGATTAGTTAAATTGCATTAGTATATAGCCTGTGTAATCAAGACTTTAGTTAAAATACATTGCAATAAAATTTATTGCAGCGTAGCTTAATTAACAGAAACCCATTAGAAATTTCTTCAAAAATTAATTAAAAAAAAAACATGTGATATAATAGTTCTTTCATATTGATAATTTCAAAATATATTTAAAACATACATGAAATAAGCAGAATAAACTTGTTACATTTAAAATTTCCATTGTTAGCTATTAAAACTTAAAAATGGTTTACTTTCAAAAGTTATAAAAATTCGGATATGGCCAGTTCCTGAAAGAGACAGATGGATTATAGTCGAGAATAATAGCTATCAGAAGATAGAAATTACGGATTGTAATTGATTTATATAAATGAATAGAATGTATAGTGTTGATCGTATTCACTGAACAGTTAAATGGAAGATATAAATTAAATGAGATCAGTTAAAACTAATTAACATATTCCTGTTTTGATGGTAGCCTACAGCTTAACATATAGTGTTTGATATATATTAATATTTCAATATTTGAGTAAGCGCTTATAGAAGCAGATTGAATTATTTATGTAATTTTATTTAAAATGTCAATTTAATAAATCCGTAAACAAAAGTATTTTATATTTTTAAACAATATTTTATTAACAAATAATTTGTATTACAAATTAAACATTACTAATTTAACATTAGTTATTTTATTAGGTTTAAAATATTTAACGTGCATACAATGTTAACTTGAAATACTTTCTTAGAAGCAATACATATTCTGTATAGAAATGAATTTATCTTTAATATGGATAATAAATTATATTCGTTAGTAAGGTTCGTCAGCTAAGTAAAACCAGCGAAAATCAGTCGAAGTGGTAGAAAAGAAACATGCTAAATTGAATACGCCGAAAAACTAAAATGTAAAATTGAATTAAAATATTTATAATTTTGAAAAAAATTATATATAAAAACTTTGCAGAAAATTACCGATGCAGAAATTCTGGCAAATCTGAATTCCTTGCAATCTTTAATGGTGAAAATAATATAAAAACTTGAAATTGCAAACATAATGGTAAATATCAGATCAATAACAAATAACTGAAATATTGGAAATAAACATGTAATTAAAAATATAAAAGTACTTTTAGATAAATATTGTTTTAAAATTGATAATTAATTAATAATATAACAGCGATACCAACCACAATTCCCAAATTCAAAAATTCTGACAGATAATCTATTATTTTAAAGAAGAAACATGTCAAGAAGATTACTGTGAACACTATAGCGGATATACATGCAGACATAAAGAATTGTGTTCTAAAAAACTTGCCGCATGTTACAGATTCTTCAATTGCAAGAAGTCCACCAATTGAAAATACCTGTAAAATGTATTACGAAATTTATGAGTTTGTAATCGGAATTATTAAAAAATATTTTACCTCAATGGTAAAATATTTTTCTCCTCATTGTACGATGAATCATCACCAGACTGGGTACCAATATTATACATGAGGGTAAGAGTGACCACAACCAAATTGCATATCAGGAGCGTTATGAAAGAGCACGTAATCAAGAAAAATACAGCCACTTGTAAGATAGTTATGGATCTTTAAAAATTTGTAAGCTTTCATTTGTGAGTGTAGTAATTTGTTGTTAAAACCAAATAGTTTACGATGTCACTAAATTCTACTTTAGGCCATAACTCTTGGTCTACAACCAAGATACTGCATTCTTATGGATCGGTTTCAGAACAGTGCTGCCTTCATATGGATCAACACCTTGACATAAACTTTTTCTTCATAGAAAATAACATCTCGTCCTGTCGGAATGAGATAATAGCCCCGCCAGAAAAGCATCTTTTTTACTTTGTTTATGATATAAAAATACTGCAGTTCTATTAAGTTTAAATAGAAAACAAAAGCGCTGCCAACCTGTCAAATAACAAACCACGTGCAAACTAAGCAAGCGGAAGTTAGACCACAAACATGGCGTTTTATCACGTAACATGTGACCTTGAAATCTCTATAAAGTTCTCCGGAGAGGTAATTCCCTTCCGAGAATGCTCACGCGTCGCGTTGCCCTAAACAAATAAAACCTAAACCTTAAATGTTTGTTTGCTTCTCGACGTTTCGCCTTTTGACCGACAATTAGAACTTACGGTCTGCTCAGAAATGCGGTATAACCGATCGGTTGGTTGGTAGTGGTGAATGACGTCATCAGTAATTGGTCGGTGACACTAGAGAGGTTGCGGCCGACGTTTTCAATGCGAAAACGTGTACGTCGGACGTTCAGCGCCGCTTTCCTATAAACCTAGAAGTTTGACAATGGTGTTTGAATAGTCAGTGGAATCACGCTCGACATTCCAAACACCATTGCCAAACTTCTAGGCCTTCAGGAAAGCGGCGCTGAACGTCCGACGTACACGTTTTCGCGTTGAAAACGTCGGCCGCAACCTCTCTAATANCATAAATATAAATGTTTTTGTAGAAAAGTAGTGATTTATTTCACTTGTCACGGTAGACTTGTATATTTCATAACGTATCGTAATATAACCATGTATTAATATGATAGATGCCGGATTACCAGTAGGTTCAGACATCATCTTACCGATCTGGGGAATCCGGAATCGTATCCAAGCAAGCAACTCCCCAGGTAATTTTATGTAAAATTTTCATTTTAAAACATTCATATGTTCTAAACAAAAGCAAATAAAGCAACAATCACTACTAATTCAAATATACAGTATATCCCAACATTAATTTTTAATTATAAAATTTTACTTTAAAAATATTCAAACATATTTAATAGCAAATTTACTAAACGAATTATTAAAGTAAAGCAGTCGTAACATATTTAAATTTTCGAACGTTATGAATTTCAAAATTCTACAAATTTTGAATTTCGAATAAAATATAACTCATTCGTACATTTAAGATATCAAAATAGAAACAAAAATATTAATAAATAAAATAAATTTGCTTACTAATTCAGCTATTCTCAACATTCCATACGAAGTTTTAAAAAAATTTTTATGATCTTTTTCCTCTTCTTCTTGAACTTCTTCCTCTTCCATAATTCGGATTTAGAACGGAAAGACAATTCACACGAATCAATTTATGCTAAATAGAATTTCTCTTGACTAAATAATGAATATATTCGATATTGATAATGTAGTTTATAACAAAAATTTCTAAATCTTTCTTATTGAAGCATGCATACTTACCAAGAATTATTGAAAAAAAATTAGTGCCATCTATTGAAAAGTATAAGAAATAGTATATTTTTCTATATAATTTTAAACATTATTTTTTTTTATTTATTATTAAGTAAATTAAATTTTAAAATAATATTTCTGTCCCTGGCGTCAATACTTATCACTTTATAGATAAATGAATTTTTCTTGTTTGAAAATTGCACCAATAATCATATTATATGTCGACAATTTTCATCTTTAATTGTCTGAAATTTCTTGTTATTTGTTGTTTTGAATAGAAGAAAATTTCAGTCTTTTTAGATTTTGAAATATTCTTAATTATATCATAAACGTACGTACGTCAATACTTCTAAATATATTAAATTTAGTTGTTTCGGCAACTTAATGTTATTTAAACGGGAGAAGAAAAGATTTTACTAGTCTTTGAAACAAATGGATTAACGCATGGGAGTTCGCGGAAAATTTTCCGGGGGGAAAACCTTGGAGATAAATAATCGTCATAAACGTTTATTTAATTATTTAAGTTTTTTGGTTTTTTTTACTAATACATTATAGAATATAGTATTGCCTCAATACAAAAAGACAGACAAAGTATCCATGTAAGGTTACCTATCTCAATCACGTAGTATTTTGACACACAAAACTTCCAAGTCAGAGAGTATTAAGCATCTTCGGGTAATGTACAATAAGAAGACGACTATATAAATTGCAAACAATTGTGCGAGTAGAGTTCTAAGGTTCCGTAAACAGCCACAATTCTCTGGAAGATTCTCCATGGCATTCACTGCGGTCAGAGCCGTAGAGAATCTTTCAAAAAACTGTGGCTGTTTTTGGAACCTTAAAACTCTACTCGGTACACTTGTGTGCAACTAACGTAGTCGTCTTCTTATTGTACCTGCATGTGCCAATGGATGTTGATTGGTTTTTGACAAAAATCGGACAACACTATATCGCTTTTACTTCGTGCACTGATGGACAAGCGCCGCCATTTTATCGGTCCGTTGTCTTATATATTGCACATCAGCAGTGTTACCAGTCTTAGTTTCTGTTTCCTCTGAAGTTTCGTCTGTCAAAATTACTAAGCTGTTGCACATCCTCCACTTTTAATGCCACTTTTTCGGTTTTCTATTGAACATACAGTACCTTGTATAATAGAAAACTTTGGAATGATATGCATCGTCGTCTAATCGTTTGGTCACTTAATTTTTGGTTTGATCGACATAACAGTCATGCTATTCTATCGTATATTTTTCTTCTATCCTTTCTTCTATATTTTCTTTTTCGTGCAATACTTTGTCACATTACAACCCTCAGTTTCTATCTATGATTAGATAATCATGCCTTCCTAGCTCTCTGGGTCTTTTGGCCGTCTTCCATCTAAGGATATTTCTAAGAAATTTCATTTCTGCTATCTCCATTTTTCTATTGCATCTTCGTTTTCCATCGTCAGTCTCATTTTAATCAACATGCTTATCTTACATAACTTAATACTATTTCGCATTTTATGCTACGTTTCTGCTCTACGTCAAATGTTTTATTGTGTTATAAACATTTTTAATTTGTTATATTCTTTTACTGATTTATTCCTTTATCTTGTCGTTGTCGATAATAAGTAGAACTAGATATAATTTTAAAACATAAATGAAAAAAAACTGAAGTTACTATCAATATTTATAAATACAGGTTAACGGTAACTAAAGTATCCTATTCTACGCTGTCTGGAGGAATACGAGTATGTAGCAGTTCAAACTCAACCAAATTTTGTATGGTGACGTTTCGGATGTGGAAGAGATTTCCACAGAAAAGTGTTTTGTAGAGGTTTTTACGCAATCTCTTAAAGTATTTGAGAATACTCGAGGCGCACTCGCCGCTTTAGCATTGTTTTCATTAAATAGCTTCAAGGAAAGGGGCATTCAGGTAATCATAACCATCACTGTTTACCTGAAATATGATATTTCACATGCCTTAGTCAGTTTTATATTCATAAATTGATCATAGAATGTGTGCATTATGCTACGTATTTTTTGCTGCTAACGGCGTAGTGGTGAATTTTGAAAATAAATTTTTCTTCTCGGAATCTTTTCCGAATATCCGAATACGTCAGCGTACAAAATTCGGTTGAATTTTGACTGTTATACATCCTTGTAGGTAGGGTTGAATAGTGGTACTTTAGAATCACCCGGTATGTTAAAATGGATCTATACAATGAAGTTAAGATTTGTTAACTTATACATGTATCACTTTTAATTAATGAACAATGTTTAATTCATACAGCATATTCAAATGAACAATAATGAAATTTTATAGCATTGCAAATTAAAGTAGCTTGTTCGAGAAAAACTACTAGCAATGCTAAAGAAATGTAAAATTTGTTCGTCTCAATTATTTCCATTATAAAATTCAGTATATTATTTTAGTAAAGCAAATAAAAGACACGATACTTTTAAAAGGAATAATTTTCAAAACAGCTTTGTACATAGCAATTAAGTCAAACAATTATTTTATGTGCGTATATTATCTACATGCTACTGGAAGATGTAATATACGCATGCAAAATCATTTATTAGTTATCGAATGTTTTTAATTTCATATCATTCAGGTCAATCAACTCAATTAAAATTATGATTAAATAATTTATATCAGTTATTTAATTCTTTTAATGAATGCATAAGAGATTTGTAGCAGTATTTATTTACTGTCTAATTATAGGTATGATATTTCTACATGACAGTCTATTTTAATGAATTATTTGTAGAAGCATCACTATTTAAAGATTATGAAATTATAGAAATATGCAAAATTAAAACAATATTAACAGAAAACGTTTGAAATTCCTTATATTTACTATAATTTTATTAGGGCATTAATCATCCATAGATTATGTAGGTTAATCATCATCCAGTGTTTTTCATCCATAGTGAATTTAAAATATGAAGTAAATACAGGCCTTATTATGAAAATTAAAAAGGATAACACAAATAAATAATCATTTAAATGCTTTTATTGATATGCTGTTTACAGTAATTTATAATGTATATAAAAAAACAGCAAGAATAACCTTTACATAATTATTTAAATGCCCGAAGCTTAAAAAATGATTAATAAAATATTTCTATATCCTCAGACAGAAATCATATTGCATATGCAAATATGTAATTAGTAGGTATATAATTAGCAATTTCGTGTCCCAAAGGCTATCATAAAATCTGTTTAACTTTGTAAATATCATTATTAAATGTAAATAGGCTATTTGTTGAAAAATTCTCTATCATGACAAATGATAATGATTGTCATTTGAAGGATGGAAATTATAGTTCTTTGTATATAAAAACATGAAACATTGATTAATAATAGAGATATGATATATGCTTATTTTTTAGTGGAATCACTGTCATTTCTGGAATTAATTTACTAGAAGAAATAATTAATGTGGAGAATAGTGATTGAATTGATAAGAAAAAAATATTTTTTAAAAAATTGTAATTTATTATATTATTTATTACACAGCTTATCGTTTGAACATCGAAACGTTTCACGTTTTAAAATCAAATTGGGATATAGCCATTTTAAAAATAATACAAATGTATAATAAAAAATAATTTTTTTATATAATTAATAAAATTGTGATTACCACCTATAAAATTATAATTTTTAATTCAATTTATTTTGTGATTTTTAGATATTTATCAAAATTAAATATAAAAATAATAAATCTGTTCGATTCATCAGTGTTTTTTAACCAATGTTTTGTGTAATATTGTGTTCGGTTAAACTGTTTAATCGGTACTAAATATGTCTTGGTAAAAATATACATTATTATATATTTTTAACATCATTATGTAATAAATTAATATAAATAATTATAAATTAACTTTATTCAAAATTCAATACAAAGAATTTAGATTTGTAGATTTTTTTTATAATCTGTATTGTGTTGTATCAATGGCTACTGCTTGCTTCGTCTAGCCATTTTTCATTGTTTTTTAGTGATGGATGACACGATAATCATTTTATTTTGAAATTAATCTAAAAAATAGAGAAAATTTCATAGAGAAAATCCTCGTCGGCCAGCGTTTAAGGAGAATGAACCGATATATATAAACAATTCTTATGTAAACTATAAATATTCCTACAACTATTCATTTGCTATTTTCCAATGTTGTGCAGAAATTGTTAAGATATTTCTAGATCGCCAGATTCTTTGCTTGAATCTGATTTCAATAATAAAATTATCTATCTACTCTTTCATAGATCATATCTGTGTAATTTCATAGATCATAAAATATTTAATTAGTTGCAGAAGCCATTTCTATGCTATCAGTAATTACTGTTTAATATCAATTTTATAATAGATCTGTAAATGTTAGTCTTCTAACGAGTAATTTTAAGTTCAATATCTGGATTATATGCGATAAATTACCAAGTATATTTAACTGCTTTTAGTATAAATTAAATCAATAGGCCTATACCTTAATGGATCCGAGTCATTTTTTTGGAAATAGCTGAGATTTTATAATTAAATAAAGTAATGGTTGCTTAAGCTATCATCACTTTACTTAAGTCTAAAGGCTATTTAGCATTTTATTTACAATTATTCAGTCAAAAATAAAATACCATAATTTGATGTAAAATAAGTTACCGAGATTTTGCACTAATCCATCTACATTAAAACATTATTTTCTTTAAGTAAACCTAAATTTCTGGATGAAATATATGTATTTATTATACAACAATATTTATATCGTTAGTCGTTTATTTAAATATTTATTTGTAATTTAATATTTATAACTATTCTAAAGCTTACTTATTCGCGTATTTGTGTTTTTAAGTTAAGAATGAATCGTTTTTATTTAATATCAGCCAAATTAATTGTGAATGCTAATCAATTCAATAGTTTGAATAGGATTTTCTGAGACAAAGCAGCAAGAATTTTATTTTTGCAACAAGCAGGTCAGATATTAAACAATTTGCCAACTTGAGTATGAGATAGGAAAAACTTCCGACCAGACTTACCAAAAAACACGATGATGATTTGAATTG